ATAGTATTATTTAAACTTTTTTCCAACTATTTAATAAAAGCATTCTTCTGTTATCTAATGTTTCTGCTAAGTATTGGACAAAAAGAATGAACATGTTTTTAAAAGCTAACTACATTTCAAACAGAGTAACATTTTATGAAGTAAATTAAATGAATAATTCATATGAGAAAAATGTAAATATCTCTAGAAAAACCACTGAATACTTCATTTTCATTATCCTGTCAATTTAACTATCTACCTGAAACCTAATGAAATGTGATTTTTCACCTGACAAAAAAAGTTGTCGTTTTCCTTGAATAGTACTTGTATATGTGTGGAAAATTAAATATAATTAATTAGTTAAAAAAAGGTAAATCTCAAGCAATTTCAATTGAGAATATCTAGAATACAAAACAGATAAAAGAATTGGTTATGAGAATTCTTGGTAATAATTAAATAGCTTGGTAGTTTGTTTTAAGGAGCTCTGGTAGCATAGTGCCTAAGGCACTTGACTGCTAACCAGAAGGCTGGCGGTTCAAATCCACCAGCCACTCCTTGGAAGGAAGGTTGGGCAATCTACTTCCAAAGTGATACTGCCTCGGAGACCCCAAGGAGGGGGCGCTCTGAGTCAGGTCCGACTCGAGGGCACAGAACAACAACAAGAAGTTTGTTTCAAGGAAATTTTGACAGAAATTTAGATGGTACTTTTCTTTCTAAATGAGAAAACTTTTTCAAGTCTAGATGTTTTCACAGAGGGAAGGTTGGCCTCATGGTGGAACTATATAATATGGCTCTGTATTACACTATCACCTAATCAAAGCTACACTGTTCTATGAATCTCTCCAATCATACATCTATAAACCTAAGCAATATACATAATAAATAAGTCAGTTACCAGTACATGTAAAAATGTGTGTGTACAGTTTATAATATAAAAAGAACATGATAATTTTGTAATTTTTAAATGCACCACTTCCAAAGATTATAGAGCCTTCAAACAGAATTACTAGGCAAGTTGAAAGCATGGATTTATTGGTATCACTCAAAATAAAACCAAATACTTTAATTTTTTTCATCTAAAATCTACCTACAGTTTTCTGCAACGGATGTGTATTGTATCTATAATGGAAATAAAAACCTATGATTACACAAAAATTAAAAAGTCTAATCCCCATTATAAATACTACATTCAGCCACAGGTGTCATGTATGGATACCTATGATGCATGAAAAAAAAAACTTGCACTGTTCTTTTAAAAAACAATAATACATACAACACATACAACTTTATATTATCACAGCACGATTAAACATGTTAGAAATCTACCTATAACTAACATTTTAAATAGAAAAACAAAAATTAAGTTTCACAAAATTTAACAAAACATATCTATTACGTAACAGCACCTACAGGAAGCATTTACAGACTGTGGCTTAAGTTCATAAAAGATTTCTCTGATCAGGATCACAGTAGGATCCTGGACAGAGTGGGAGAAAAGAAAAATCATAAAAAAAACCCCACCAGACTTACTGGTCTAATAGAGTCTGATAGAACCAAGAGACTATAGCCTTCAGAAACCCTTTAAGCCTGGAACTGAACACACCCCAGGGGATCACCTTGCCGCCTCTAAAGTGAACACTAACAGCAGGGAGGAAACTGTTCTTCAGAACAGTCTACCACAGTAGACTAAAAGGGTAGCATTTGCTCAAAAACAAAACTCAGAAGATAGGAAGGGACAAGAAGGAAGAATGGAAATGAGGGACACAGGAAGG